CTTCAAATGCCAATGCGTCAGACTGAGGTGGTTAACCATTCTGTTTAAGGACTTAAGAGGAGAGCTTCACTGGGGGCCTGTGAGTATTAAAATGTTGACGGAGGAAGGAGACCTCCAATTTGAGGGGAGCATCCCCAACAACCTGGTGGCAGGCCAATTCTAACAATATCCTTTTAATAAACTTTGTTAAAAGCTTCTGTCTAGGGGGATTAAAGAGAAGGGGATGAGTCAATGTTTGAGGGCAAAGAGAACTGCAGAAAGCTGGAGGCACCTGGAGAATTGGAGGTAATAAGAGAAGAAGTCTGGAGCAATAAATTTGGACCAAAGATTAACGGGTGAGCACCAGCGCTCCTCAGAAATTCAGAGGGGGTAACTGGCCTTATGTGCTCCTGTCGGATAGGGGCAGAGTTGACTTTTCCAGGGTTGGGTTTCCAAGGAGGAACTCTGTTTCAACCCAGGCAGTAGTCTAGAAGAGGGACTTGGGAGCCAAGGTCATTTAGTAAATCACAGCTTATCACATAGGAAAAGCAGAAACGCGACAGCAAATAGGCCAGTCCAGAAAGAGGAAAAATGACAGGAGCTGGAATTAACCAAGTATCTGTCCAATGTAAACATTTAAAGTCTTTTCATGGTACCATTATTCTCTGACATCACTAGCTCCACCCCACGAGCATTTGGGTGTATGAGGTAGGAAGGTTTATACCCTAGCAGCTGGCTGGTCCTTGTAGGCTTGGTGTCCAGTGAGGTAGGTTGGCCAGTGTCTGGCCCTGTACATTCAGCTAGCTTCTGCTGTCATTTGTGGCTCGTGGACATTTGATCTGTTCTTGCTTAGCTCAGTCAGGGCCTAGAGGTCTCTCCTCACCTATGACTCATCTGAAGACTAGCTGGTATTCTATTCTTTCAGACCAGGATGTCCACTTTGAAGTTTATATTTCAGGACATGTCATCACAGCTATAGAAGCCCCTTCTGACAATCCCCCCACCTCCATCACCACACTCTCAGTAGTTCTGAGATTCATCAGAGCCACTCGGGGCATTAGGAAAGGAGGCAAGAAAATGAGAGCCTTAGCATCCACTTTTATCTACCTCTTTTATTTCTAATAACAGTGAATACAGATAGAATATGTATTCTTTTCTGAGATACATTTTTATAAATTAATAATTATTTTATAGAATTGAAATGTTTTACTATATGTTAATATGGTTAATATGGACCCGCAAAAATGCTGATTTTATTTCTCATAGCATATGGCAAAAGCCCACATTCCACTAATAGGGAAATGAAGTACATTACTTGTATATGCAATGCAAATAGCTTTGAGCACTATAGGGAAAAAAGGTCACTAAAGCTATTATGCTCTCGTAGGAGAAATGGGGGTTGCATATCTACTAACGAAACTTGCAGTCATTGTCTTATCCATTATTGCCTTTGAAAGGAAACACAGAATTAGATAGTATAATTAAAATTCACTGAGAACAAATTATCCCTAAGCACTAAAAAATTCAGTGGATAAATGACTTTGAATCTATAATTTCACTTCCAAGAACCAACTATACATATACTATACAATTATACAATCAACTATACATATTCTCCAAAGACGGGCAGTGCACTGTATAATGCAATTTCACTCTCAAATAAAAAATGCTTCATCATTAACTTTTCCATATGCTAACAAAAGCTGAAGTTACATAAAGTAGCTAAAACAATTTTCTCAGAGACTTTGAACATGAGAAAGATATCAAATATTACAAAAAGAATTAATACATATATTGATAACTAAGGTACAATGTGGTAGCATTTTAAAACGTTAAATTGTAATATCAATCAAAATAATTTCCTTTGTACATGAAAATAAGTTGCAAAATGTACAGTTATATCAAACCCATTCAGTAGCCATATAAGTATAATAAATATATTTTGCTTCACATATTGGCTCAATAGAATATCAGTTTATTGGATGCCTTATAATATGCAGGCACTGTGCTAATTGCTAGGTCCAGAAATGATGAAGATATGTCCCTATTCCTAAGAGCTTCCAATTACATGAGGAAGACAGACATGTAAAGGAATATTTACACCACAATGTGATACTCAGAGAACTGCACTCTTAGTTATTCCAGCAACCTTGTTACCCTTGGAACCAATAGCATAATTTGTTGAGCTAGTTAGACAGTTGGGAATGTTTTCAAAGTTAATGAAATGAATAAAGCTACTTGACTCATAGAGCTATTTGATAATGGCCTTGTTTTATAAAATATCATGCTTTATCCAACTGGACTAACAGCACAGATGAATCTCCACATTTACATTGTTATTACCATAAGGCTGGTCTGTATTGATTTGTGAGCAAATTGTCTTCACATTAACCACCAAGGATGTGACTGCTTTGGTTTCTATTTTTTGCATACTTTCTGGGGTCTTTTTTAGAAGTGTTTTCAAAATCCTGAAAACCATATGCAATGACAAATGATTGAAAAATTTATTAAAATTTGGCTTTAAATTCCTCTTCCAGAAAATATGAGTTTGTGATTATGTTGATGGGGGGTAGGAGGAGAGAGACACAGCAAGGCTGTAGCCCAAATTGGATTTATAAGAGCTAGAGAGCTGGTTAAGGGAGCGAGATGCCTGAATTATCCAGTACACTGGAATCGCCAGCGAGGCAAGACCCATGTGTGAAATCGAGATTCTGCAATGCCGGTCCGGCTCAGACCACCGAAAAGGCGGCAGAGCTAGGATAGATTCTCTGAGGCAACTGTAAAGGACAAGGAATGTAACCCCTATTGTGGCAGGTTTTAAAATGCTGAGCATTTGAATAAGAAGGAAAATAAAGCCTTGATTTTAGAGGAATGAGACACATATTACTGTTTCAAACACTTGTGGGGACAACTTAAGATCAAAGGCTGGAAGTTATTCCAGGGAGGCAGAGTTGCTTTCAATGTTAGGAAGAAATTTCTAATAGAACTGTTCAAAAATGGAGGCAGTGAGCTCTTTACCCCTGAAAGCACTGAATTAGAAAGTGAAAAAAAAAAATCATCTGTCAAGGGTGTTTTAGAATTTAAAGGGGTTTTCTATACCAGGTTGGAAGCTATATTCGATTCTAAGGTTATTTTCAAGTTTGAATATGAGTTTATGATTTAGAAGAGTTATCTTTTGATAAGTATGTAATAGTATCATCCTGTGATTAAATTTCCTATTTAGATATTAAATTTGATTAAGCATCATAGTGTCATCAAATATAATTTATTTATAAACATCTAAGTTATTAAGATTCTGTATAAAGATATTCTTTCAAATCACATAATCTTTAACTAGAATCACTACATTTAGCCATATAGCCTGATCTGCAGCAAAATCAACAATTCAGGAAAAAATTTTAGGTACTGCTCTTTCAGTTTCTATTTACTATAAAACAAATGTGCACCTATGGTAGACAGAAGAAAAAAATCTCTATTAGTAGCTCACTATAAATGTCAGCACCATTTACAGACTTTTTCCTGAGTAATTAAAAAAAAAAAAAGAACAAATTTTCTTCAATAAGAATGCTCCTAAAAATGATGTAGTTTTAAAACTCAAGTCCTATTGAAATCTTGAGTATACAGAACCATTGAAATCAAGTTACCCAGAATGCCTAAAATGCTAAATAAATTGGAGAAGGAAGCAATTAGTCCTATGTCAGAAAACAATTAAGATGCAAATGTGTAAACACAATGTAGAAATCTTTGGTTGTCCACTCCTGTGTAGGAATTTATTGGGCTAATCATATGCTACACTGCGCAGTCTTTGATAACTAGCCTTATTCTCAAGTATGGCTTTATAAAGTGGAGTAAAGTTGTTTCTTACGTTGAACAGAAATCTGCTTCCCTACAAATTCCAGCTTTTGTTTTTAGGTTGCTCTCCAGAGCTGTCCATTGGAAGACATTTTTGAGTCTTACACATTCAATTCTAAATATAAGAGGAGAAGAGTTTCCAAACATTGGACCCAATTGAACTGAGAATGATGATCTAAAAGTAACACTATGTATTCAACAATGTATTTAATTATTACATTATAATCGCTGCTTCCAATTCTCAAAATGTAAACAGATGTTTCCCTTTATAGTTGACTGATTTTCAAATCATGTACCTTGAGCCAGGTACACTGAACACGTATGCAATTGCTCTTCTTAGTATCTGGGAAAAATGAAATCATGTTGCAGCATGTAGTTGCTCTCAAATAATATTCTAGCTTCCAAGGGTAGTATGTAACGAATACTGCTGTGATAAAGACCTCTTTCCCTCCCCATACCAGAGTTGAGTGTTATGGGAATGTAGATAATTTTGATTAGGCAAATATTCTTCATACTGCTTAGTTGCATAGGCAATAGATGAACAAGAGTGCTCCACGTTTTAAATAAAGTTTGAAGATCACTCTAGAATGCCCATTAACTGGAATTGATCTCATATAAATGTTGAATTTAATCTTTTTTATATTTAATAGTGCTATATACTTATCAATTTCAAAAGACATTAAATATAATTTTTTGCGTGAATAATCCAAGTGTAGTGGAGCAAGACAAATGATAAAGGATTTAGAAATGTTAAAAAGAATTTTCCACATGAATGACAGCAATCTGGATAATGAGCAGAATTATTTTATCTCTTACACTGCAGTATTAGCTGAAGGATGATAATGAAAGGAAAGTAGACTTTTAAAGAAAAAAAAAGACTAAGAGAAGAGGCCATAGATAAAGGGATGTTATTTCCTCCCCTAATCTTACAGATAGGGAAAATAGCTCCTTTTGGGGGTAGTGAGAATAGACTTGAGAGATCACTGAGATTTGCATGTCAGAGATCCAGAACTGAGGGTGAGGCCAGAATGATACATATGGTTCTTGGATTGTGAAGCCACAGTGATCGGAGCAATCAGAACAATATAAACAGTTTAGTCACTGACCATGTGCGTATGTGGCTGGGTTCCTTGAAGACACATACCATTTGAACACACATACCATTTGAACACACATAACATTTTTTGATAAGGCAGACACATCAAATGAAAGTTCTAACTTTACAAGATGCAAAATGAAAGAGGACAAGATCAATTATTAATGGAGCCAAGCCCAGCACAGATTGCTACAGTGCCCAGGAAAGAGAACAGTAAATAAAGGAAGAGTTTGGGGCTTTATGATTAGACAGAGTACTTTTCTTGCAGTTGTAATTGATAAAGAGCACTCAGGTGCAGATGTAAAGAGACGGCAATAAGTGAAAATGATTAACAAGTAACCTGCAGCAATTGTAGAAACTAAGGCAGAAAACCTTGTGCATTAGAAAGCGTATTGAATCAAATGCAGGGGGAGCCACCTAGGCCTTGATAACAAGGATATTTCTAGAAACATAAATCAATGGCCAATGACAAGAATGGTGGAAATAAAGATGATTTGATAATGAAACAAGATCAGGAAGGGATTCCATTTTGTTTTAGTTTCTTCTTTCTAGAAGAGATTAACAATTCCTAGAGTTAGTGATTAAAACAGTACTTATTTTAAACATACTTTAATTATTTATATATGCTTAAATTAACCGTTCAGTAAATCCACATATAGGTCACCCACTGTGTTATGGTCTTTCTCAAATAATTTGTTTTCAAAGCCACACACACACACAAAAGCCTCTATTGAATTTTCTTTTTTTCTTACACACACACACACACACAGAGGAAAAGGCAGAGGCAACTAAAGTAGGTAGGGAGGAAGGCCACCAGGTCTACAGAATACTTTTTATGTAACTGTCATCTGATTAGGGACAGTCCCTGATTTTGGAATTGCATGATAATGTAGTCTATTATCCTATTGTATTTTGAAAAATATATTTGAAACATATGATTGCATAAATTTATATGGTAAAATAAAAGGACCTTCATTTAAGTATATTTCCATACTTACAGGAACACACCTCTAAAAAATATGTACAGTTACAACAGATTAATATTTGCAGAGTGTGGGAAACTACACTTGATTCTAGAGAAATCCAATCTATACATTACCTGAGATGTAAAGCAGGGGTCTTAAAACCTAAAATGCTTATATCTTTTAAACCAATTAAAGAAACATACCCTCTTGCAAGGCAGAATCATCCTGAGAACAAGGATAATTGATACTCTTCCACTGTTTGGGTTAAAGATGATTAAACATTTAAACAAATGCAGGTTGTGAATACTACTATGTATACCAAAAGCCCAATCATTTTTTTGAATTTAGAAAATAATTCACTATGAATAATTTACTGAAGTAGTAAACCAACACACAGTGCTTTACAGTTGGTATATATCATCACAGAAAACTGACATGGTACTAATTTAAACCCTGAAATTTCTTATTGTAACTCAAATTTGGACATTTAAGAGGTTAGGAAATGCAACAATAATGATCTGCTTATCTAGAGGTCAGATTTTCTACATCCTCAATTATGTTGGAACCTGCCAATGATAACAGAAAAAGGATTTTAGGACTATCATCACAGAATCCAAGAACATCATTCAATGGGTTACATGTTAAGATAAACTCAGATCAGGTGTTAACATAGAACTACTAATTTAATCAAGAATGTTAATTTACTGAGCTTGAGTTAGAAAATAAAAATATGATACTGCTAGAAATTCAAACCAAACAACACTGAGAACTAATGGAATCAGCAATTTCAGAAGCATTTCAGTAACTGCCGATGGCATTATGGCATTATAACATGGTACATTATGTTGTTAATGAAGAGTAAAAATAGTTAATCCATGTTTACTGTACAATTTAAAAGGCTGGGGAAATACATTGCATTTTAGAAAAACTTCTGACCAAAAAAACAGTGAAAGAAAAAGAAGGCTTAAAAGAAGCTAACCAATGATCAGAAAGAATAGAAGCTCAACAACACTTATACCTGTAGTAACAAGGTAGGATTCTCACCTCTTTCTAATTTACTTTTCACTTCATATAATATAGTGTAAATAATTCATTTTTATTACCTAAAGAGATCTCTCCCATCTAAATAGTATAAATCTGTGAACTTTGTTTTCATTAGCCTTTCATGGATATAGTACTTTAAAAATCAAAACATCAAAGCCTATGGGTTTTATTTACATATGAAAATACTAAATATTCTGGATCTCCAAGATTAAATTATATTCAATATAATTTTTGGTAAAACGTATTTTGTATTTTAAGTTTCTGGGAAGTGCTAATTCATATACAGTGTACATTCATAGTAATTCTCTAATAGAAGGAACGTTTTATTTTATTAAGATGTGAAGACCTTTTTATCAACTATTAAGGTTGACATATTTCCTGTAGGTTTCTAGAACTGGAATAGCGTTAGAATGTCTAAGCACACACTAGTTTTAGAAATGATTAGAAAACCATGGGTCCCTGTATTTGTTAAACTGAATCACCTGGCAGTAAAATTCAGTTAAGGCTCTTGGCATGGGTGCAACTTCTTCCCACTCAGACCTGCTGCTGTGGTAGACCTGCACTTCATCTGTGATTTCATCTGGTGCATAATCACCACCTAATATATAAATTTTATCTTCAATTCCAACTGCACCTGCATTAAAGCCTGCACATTCAAAAGATCCTTCACCCTTCCAAACACAAGTATCTGGACAAAAACTATAAACCTTATAGGTGGAAAGGTCACATATATACAGTGTGCAGTTTACTGGGACAGCTTTAATTAGCGTTGCATGAAAAAACTGCCCAAACTCTGCTACTAGTTCAGACCACTGATCAGTCGTAGCATTATATTTAAAAAAGCAATCAAGTGATGGGTTAAAGGCATCTGTAATCTCTACTTCTGATCCAAGGACATAAATTACATTTTGGCATGCACTTGCTTCAGGATAGTATATGCCTCTGGGTAATGGGCTAACAGATATCCATTCTTTGGAAAGAGGGTTGTAAGATTCAACATCTAAGAGACTTCTAATGTCCTGAGATCCTCTAGTCTTTCCACCTATGACAAATAATCTATTGAGAGCCATAACTGATGTATGCATGGTTCTTGGTGTTTTCATAGTCGATACCAAGAAGAAATCATTTTTGACTGGACAGTAGCACCAGGTTTGATCAGTGGCATCATGATAGGACTCTGCAATATGGAGCCTAACGGTTCTACAACATGTCCCTTTGCAACCACCTGTCAAGAATATTTTCTCTCCATAACTAGACAGACTAGATCCTGGCAAGTCAATCAGGTGTGATTGTGACAGTACCTTCCATGAATCAGTTTTAATATTATAGCAAAATGTATATTGACTTTCTCCATTTTCCTCAGTTTTATGAACAAATATATATTTTTCAGTTGTGGATGGTCGAGCATCAGGGAAAAGTCCACCAGAACCTTGCACACGCTTAACTGCATCCATGATTATGTCAAAACAGTCTGTGCTTTTGAGTAAACACTCTTCACTGAGCAGACAGTCTTGAAGTGTCTCCTCAGATAACTGATGTAATCTTACTTTTTTAATCAAATGAGGCAGATGCTTTTGCCTTGATTCTAAGTTATGTTTAGTCCAACTAAGGACAACTTTCAGCACGGTTTCTTCTTCAGGAACATTTAATTCATCTGATTCCAGACATTTTTGCAGTACTCCAAAATTCATCTCTAAGAAATCACTGGATTTAAATACTAAATAAAAGTGATGTTGTACAAAGTATAATGCATGATTAAACAAACGAGTAGAGCCATAGCTATCTGATATAGATAATAACTGTAAACAATTGACAAGATTAATACTTTTTATTAAAAAGTCACTGCAGGCCTTGGATAGGAAGGAAACTTGGAGAAACGATGCCAACTGGAAGAACATTTCCACATTATCATCTGTTATCTTTGTTTTTCCAGTATAGGCATAATCAAGAAATGCTTTAACTGCTTTGGAGGACAAATTAGTAATGGTAACACTTCCACCATCTCTTTCTTTCATGTTCACTTCAAACATAGCCCTGCAAAAATAAAGAACACAGAAGAACAAGTAAACAGGAATAGTTTATTCCATAACAATTTCAATATTATCTTAAAGAAGTTTCCTTATCTTATTCCTTCCTATATTTATGAAATATATTTTTAAAGCATCCTAATAAATTATTTTAATATCTAGAATAGTTATACACCATACTATTTATCTGTTAAACATATGTATTACATAACTGCCATGTTGCAAAATATATACATTATAGTTAAGCTACAGTAACTAATCCAAAGAAGACTATAAAAAGATTCAAATTTTATATACTGATTTCATGTTTTTATATATTATTCACAAAATTAGGGTAAAATCTCTCTAATGGCAGAATTTTTTTATTTATGGGTTTCTTAATATTAACTGTGCAGGTACTAACTAAAATTACTTAAAATATATAATGCTTTTGGGTTTAGGATTTAAAAGTCTCTTTCAAACTAATTTTCATTTTAGCAGTAGTGAAACATGAAAGATGGAATACAGTGAGATATCAGATATATCCAATGAATCTGCCTGTGTGAGGAAATCCATCAAATAACGTAAACTTAAATACACATCTAAAAAGACACATTTCATACAGTACTTGAGGAAAAAGGGAATGTGATTTCATAAAACTAAACAACAACAGTGTACCACACTAAGCTAAAGGCTAAAAATAAGTTTTCATAGAAATAGCCACTGAGAGATGAAGATGGGTCCCCAGATTTGAATAATTAGACCAGCTTGAAAGTTCTTCATAATAAGTTCTAATTTATCCCTACATGGTAAAGTTGATAGAATCTAAGGAATTGAGAACTTTTTTGGCTTAGTTTCAGCAAAAATATAAATTATTTGGAAATGCTTGGGCAGGAGACTAAGATGTATTTTACTACTGGTTTTGGTCAGAACAATATTGCTATCCATTCTTATATTAACTTCATATCCAGAGTCATTCATTTTTACGCTTTAAACAAACCCATTATGGTAGTCGTCAATGGAACAGCAAATGGAGATTAAGATTAAAGTAGAAAGAGCTACAATAAAGAACCAAGGAATGCCAGTTGAGCATTCACTAAGACTGAAGATCAACTGGTTTTGGATCTGGTTTAATACTGCTTTGTATCTGTGCAGTATGGTCCAGGATGCCTTTGTGAGCAGTGCCCCTAGGTGCCCAAGTACTCCAGGAGGAAAGCAATTTAATTAGAGTCTACTCTAGAAGATAACTAAAGCTGTTTAAGGAGCAAGGGAACTGTTTAGCAGCGAACTGAATTATATAAGGGCCCTCCAAATACAGAATACCCCTTAGGAAAAGGAAGGATGACACAGTACCTTCCCACTAGGCTACTCAATACTTCTTAATACAAAAACAAATACAGATAGTTACAAAATTATATATATGTCACACATTATGCAGGGTGTTTCAATAATGTATATCAACTTAGAAATATTAACCTGTACTAATAATTATATTAGGTTATTAAGACACCTATAGTCAGTTTAGGGTAATATTAAGAGCATGGCCTCTAGAACCCACTGCCTGTGTGGGTAACTAGCCTCTGCCACTTATTAGCTGTGTGACCTTGGGGAGGTGACTTTATTGTGCTTTAAATTCTTCATCTGCAAACAGGGATATTGGTAGTACCTATTTCACTGAGTTGTGAGAGGAACAAATGAGTTAATTGATGCAAAGCATTAACTGTTATTGTTATTATTTTAAGAAAACAAATGTTTTCTATCAGATTTTATGTGTTTTTAATTTACCATCAGCTTCCACATTATGTTTGAGAAGATACGTGTAAGATCATATTTCTATACTTCATCCTACTCATCTTTAAAGTATCCATTAACATCTCTCTCAGATTTACCATGTTATCATAAAGTGGTTACACAGTATGTGTGATTCCTTTTCAATCTTCTCTCCAATAATTTTACATCTCAATAACAATTTTCACTTTCCAAAAGCATTGTGAAGGGCATTTATCATACATTGTGTACTTTTCTGCTATTTTTATTTTATACTTTTCCTCCCAATACTCCAGTCAGTTTGATCATAGCACTTATATGAATTAGTGGCCTTATCATACAAAAGTGTAAATTATAGAATTTCCATCTACATTTATACATATTTTTATGTGAACTGTGTACTCAGTAAAATACAACATATTATATAGGATCTAGGTCATTATGAAACTGTCATTTGTGTTACTTCAAAACAGGTGGAAACTTTTAAAAATATACTGTTCTAACAGTTATTTAAAAAACTTAAAGCCAATCCATAGAAAGCTAGGAGTAAGCTGAACAAAATACTATGGACAAAAATATGTGCAGATACATTTAATTAATAAATAACTTCAATATGAAGAGTAGAAGACTGCCAATTCAAATGCTTACATGAACGTCTTATTTTTTTAACATGAAAACATTACAGGGAAATCAGGCTGTGTGTTCATACCAGATTATGTCCATTTTTGATTAGATTTGGAAATAATAATAATCGTAATTAACAAAATTAATTGAATGAAGTAGGCACAGTCCTAGCCATTACATATACGTTATTTCATTTAACCGTCATAATGACTCTATGAGTTAGGTTCTATTTTTATCATCTTAATTTTTTACAAATAAGGAAACTGAGGCCTGAAGAGGTTAAGTAACTTGCCTAAGGTCACATGTCTAATAAGTGGTGGAGCTGGGACTTAGATTTAGGGCACATGTATTAAGAGGCCAAGAACTTAACCATTATACTATACAGCTTCCTGCGATGAAGAGGTGACATGAAGGATAAGGGAGCAGAAAAGAGTCACTTGGAAGAAAAGCTGGAGTAGAAGAGAGGTGGGAAGAAACTGGTGTAACCTGATTGTGGCAGAGCATAAGAAGAGTTAGGGCCCCAGTGGAGTTGGAAGAAGAAGAACTTAGGTGACCTGAGAGAAGAAGTGAAAAGAATGGATGAAGACATACAGTCTAGTTAGGCCAACAGCTAGTTCAAGACTGTTGTCACCTCCCTGTCCCCAGTAAACCATGATGCAGCACTGAGCCATTGTTCCCAAATTCAAAGCAAGAACCTTACAGGAACAGTGTTTAGCAAGTAGTAAATATCAATAAAGTTTTGCTGAATGAAGTACAGCCTATAAGATTTACTCTAGAAGGCATTAAGAGTAAGGTCTCATTAGACGTTGGTAGTAAAACAGGAGTTAAACTTAGGATTAAAACCAGTATAAGTCAACTTGAACCTAGGTGTTTCTATGTCTTAAATCTTACTTTATCATTTATTTATTAGAGATTGAAACCCTTTTTACTTCAGATAAAAATTGCTTCCAAAATTGAACATAATGCAAAATACTGCAATTAGGATTTAAGTTTATTGCAGTATGACTAAGAGGGCTGAAGACCAGGATGTCACCAAGACAGGCCTGTGTGTCTGTAGACCAAGAGGCCTCACAGGATGATATGACCTTGATAACAGTTACTACAGTACTAAGGTCAGGCATCTGACCTGTAACCCTGCAGAATCAGAAACCCACTGTCATTGCATAGATTCTTACTGTGTCATGACTAGGACATTCCCTGCAGGATGATCTAAATGGGGAACCAAATTATATTCGGATGGTTGTTCGGAATCAGAACAAGTTTGGTGCTCTCCAGAAAGGCTTCTGGAGATATTTCCCTACTACAGGAATATCTTTGCCAAAGAGAGGAGAAATCTTGAAATGTCTGGGTTAGAGTCCCTCTCCCCCAGATAATCCATGGATACAATACATGACTGAAATTTATTTTCCTCTCAGATTCTTCATTTTCTTTGAACTTTGATTCCATTTTTGATCAACCTGTCCTTTTCTCTTTTCTAAATGATACAGTAAAGGGATCCCCCAAACAGAACTGACCCCAGATCAAAACAATTTTTTTTTTTACCAGAAAATTTCAAGGGACTAATGTTCCATAGGACTCTGGGAAATGCTGCCCTGGGAAGACCTGAGCTTTAAAAAAGGTAGTCTTAAATTTTCATACTCAAAATCATTAGTTACTCTTAGCTTCTTATTAGCTTTTTTTAAGAACTAAAAATTAGTGCTGCATGCTCCTGTGGGGGAAAAATTGAGTACAGTTATAGAAAAATAACATAATTATCCGTATCATAAAATATGAGGCATAGATAGACAAGGAAAAGTACCTGAAAAAGTCACTGCATGCTGCTAACACACAACGATGACATGGGATTATTTCATCTTTCATGATTATTTTGAAATCATAAAAGACATTTTGTTCTCTAAAATTCTGCAGTACACTTAAGACTTTCTGTCCATGATCTTCTGACACAAGGAAGTTGTTTTTCTTCTCAGATGGAATTCCATTACATGAGTTTCGTCGATTGAAATCATATGAATTATCCATAGCCAATTCCACTTGTTCTTAGAACTGGAATGAAAAAAAAATCACTGATGCAGTAGAGTCCTAATGAAATTTTCAGACTCCAACATTTGCCCTCTTATTGTCAATTACACAAAAATGCTCACAAAGAACAATTATAAGATAGTAAACTTTGTTCTAAACATTTGTTTTCATATTTAATAATAAATTCCTTTTAATTTTCATAAGTGTTGAGCTCACTGGGATAAAAAGTATATTATTAAGGGATAATATTCAAGGCTATATAATTGTGTTAGATAGCAAAATTTATAAGTTCTATAAATAGCTTATTTAGGATCTCAGTACATGACCAGTCTTATTGTTACACATAAGAGGTAATATTTATACAGTAGTTATCATTTGGGTATATACCCAACACATCCCTCTCCCCTCTCATCCATTTTCTTCTGGTAGCACAGCAGATGTTAAAATACTGATTTTGAAGCATAGGTATATGCCTTCTGAGGTTAGCCTTTACAAGAGAATTGATTGAAAAAGATCAGAGCGCTAGACTGTATTAACTACTGTAGTTACAGCCTTTAGTAAGGAAGAAAATGGTAAGCATTGATTCAAACTGGTCTATTTGAAAGCAGGAAGGAAAACAGCAGGAAGGAAAAAAGCAGGAAGAAAGGCGTTTTAAACATGAAGTCAGAAATCAAAGATATTTTAAGGTCAGACAATTGTGACTTTCCCAAACTGCAAATTTGGCTCCAAGCATAAAAGTTTGTACCACCAAAAGCAAGAAAGTGGGCAACAGAAAGTAAAAGGAGACTGGGAACTAGAGGAGCCAGAGAAAGAGGGAATCTTGATTCCTTAGCATATTTCTGTTCTGGTTATCTACTGCTTTGCAAATCACTTCAAAACTCAGTGGCTTCAGACAACAATTTATTATTATCTCTCATGGTTCTGTGGGTTTCGCTGGAGCTTCTCACTTGGGGCCTTTCCCATGGCTAGAGTCAGATGACAGCTGTAGCTGAAATCTCAAGACCTGACTGGGTTAGAGGTCCAATATGGTTTCTTCATTCACATTTCTGGTACTTCAAATGGAATAGCTGAACAGATGATGCCCTGTCTCTCTTCATGTTGGCTAGCTTATACTTCCTCATAGCATGGCAGTTTCAGAGTAGTTAGACTTCTTGGCTTGGTTCTCCAAAAAGGAATCTTCTAAGATGACCAGGTAGAAATCAGACACCAGAGAAGTAGTCTGAATGGTCCTACAGCATCAATCAAAGCTCCCTTCTAGGACTGAGACAATCTACTGCTGTGTTGTCCAATACAGTAACCATGAACCATGTTTAGTTATTTAAATTTAAATTACTTAAAATTAAATAAAATTAAAAATTTAGTTCTTTGGTTGCTCTAGCCATATTCTAAGAGGTCAGTAGCCATAGGTAGTGTGATGGTTAATTTTATGTATCAACTAGATTGGGCCATGGGGTGCCCAGACTGGCTAAACATTATTTCTTGGTGTGTCTGTGAGAGTGGTTCTGGATGAGATCAGCATTTGAATTGGTGGACTGGGTAAAGCAGATTGCCCTCTGTAATGTGAGCGGGACTCATCCAACCCGCTGAAGGTCTGAATAGAATAAAAGGCTGAGTAAGAAAGAATTCTTTGTCTCTGCCTGACTGTCTTTGAGTTGGGACATTGGTCTTCTCCTGCCTTTGGACTAGAAGTGGAACTATATCATCAACTCTCCCGGGTTTCCAGCTTGCTGACTGTAGATCGTGAGACTTCTCAGCTTCCATAATCACATAAGCCAACTCCTTATAGTAAATCAACCAATCAATCAATCAATCAATCAATCTCTCTCTCTCTCTCTCCAGTTGGTTCTGTTTCTCTGGAGAACCCAGACAATACGTGTGCCTAGTAGCTATTGTATTGTACAGCACAATTATAGAACATTTCATCATAACATAAAGTTCCATTAGATAGCTGATGTACTGTGTGAAGAACAGTGTGCATGTCCGTGTATGTGTGTGTCTGCATGTGCAGGGAGGAGTAATAGGATGTAATTGGCAGTATTACTGGAAAAATAAGTTACTTGCAGTAGTTTTGTGAGCAGTGTTCTGAGTAGCTGTTAGCAAGGAGATATGTTAAGAATGAGAGCAGATGTCATGCAGGATGAGCAATAATGACAGGCTTAGGGCCAGTTCTGAAGAAAAGGCAGAAAACAATTGTATTAGAGTTCTCTAGAGAAATAGAACCATTGGACCAATGAGGTATATATGTATACTTAGATATTTAGGATATATTATGTAGATGGGAATTCTATATATTATATAAAGAGATTTATTATAAAGAATTGGCTTATACAATTATGGAGGTCTCAAAATCTGCAGTTGGTGAGTTGGATACCCAGAAGAGGCGACGGTGTAGTTCCAGTCTGAAGCCAAAGGCCCGAGAACCAGGACAGCTGATGGTATAAGTTCCAGTCTGAAAGCCAGCAGGCCTGAAACTCAGGAAGAGCTAATTTTTCAATTCAAGTCTGAAAGCAGGAAAGGACTGATGTCTCAGCTCAAACAGTCAGGCACTAGGAGTTCCCTCTTACTCAGCCTTTTTGTTCAATTCAGGTCTACAATTGATTAGATGAGGCACACCCACATTGGGGAGGGAAATCTGCTTTACTCAGTCTACCTCCTCAAATGTTAATCTCATCCAGAAACACCCTCACAGACACACAGAATAATGTTTGACAAATGTCTGGGCACCCTGTGGCCCAGTCAGGTTGACATATTAAATTAATCACCACAACAGTGCAAATCTTTACTTCAGAATGTTCATGACATATTACCTAGGATGGAAAAAGAATATTCCAAGTTAGAGTGGGGTGTAAAGATAATTATATATGGCCAATGTCTCAGCAGTAATTGTTCACCTCACAAGGCATACTTCTCTTAACTCTCTTATAAGATTCTGTTTTTAAAATTATGCATGTTCTTTCCTCCTTTTCTAAAAACTATAAAATATATAGATTTGAAATATTGGCTTGTTTAAAAAATCATATATCTTCACAAGGGTATGATGTAATGTGAAATGGAAGAAAGAGCAGGGCTTTAGAATCAGATAGATTTGAGTTTCAATGCTGGTTCAGTAATTTGCTTGGGATATATCTGAGGCATGTAACTTCTAATCTCTGATTGTCTTTTTCAGCATCTGTAAAATGGGGATAAACTATACCTATCTAGTTGTGTTGTTGCGAATATTAAAAAGAATACATAATTTAGCATATAAAATGTGCTAAGTGAAAGTTAGTACTTATTTTCTATTAGAAATTTAATAAAAAAGGCAAGGAAATCACTGAAATGACATTAATCAAAAAGTTTATAGTTATCAGGAGGTGGGGGGAGAGGCAGAAGCAGCAGCTGTCTAATAATTCCTAGTGCTTAAGAGAAAAGTTGAATACCAGAGCTATCATTGTAAAGTAGTTATATCTGGAGTGTCAGGATCAATGGAAAGAAGAGGGAGAATTGGTGGAGACTTGAGCCAGCCTCTCTTATTGATTCCATGATGATGGAAAGGAATATTTAAAGGGACTAGCCAGAGGTTATTTATACTACACATAAAGGGACACAGATCAGGTAAACAGGCATCTACATTACACAGACAGGCATGAGTTACTGCTGTGCATTTGAGTACTGTTCTGATTTATTGGTTTAAAGGTCCAAAAAGATTTGCTTTGTGATATGGATGTAGGCGCTGAATTTAGATTGTTGTAACTATTACCAAAATTTCCCTCCATACCTTCCCTTTCTCCTCATTGTATTAGCATGCTTAAGTTTTTCCCATCTAAAACAAAAAAAATTTCCTGGAATCAACATGCTCCTCTAGTCCCAATCTCACTGAACTTTATCTTTATTTTTATTTTTTTTATAATTATATTTATTTATTTATTTTTCCCCCAAAGCCCCAGTAGATAGTTGTATGTCATAGTTGCATGTCCTTCTAGTTGCTGTATGTGGGACGCGGCCTCAGCATGGCTGGAGAAGCAGTGCGTCAGTGCGCGCCCGGGTTCCAAACCCGGGCCGCCAGCAGCGGAGCGCGCGTTCTTAACCGCTAAGCCATGAGGCCGGCCCCTGAACTTTAAAATAAATAAATAAATAATACAAATTGTGTCCATTATTCCTTTTTTTTTTTTTTTTGGTGAAGAAGATTAGCCCTGAGATAACATTTGTTGCCATTCCTCCTCTTTTTGCTGAGGAAGATTGGCTCTGGGCTAACATCAATGCCCATGTTCCTCTACTTTATATGGGATGCCACCAAAGCATGGCTTGACAAGCAGTGTGATGGTCTGCACCCAGGATCTGAACCCGAGAACCCTGGCCCCCAAAGTGGAATGAACTTAACCACTATGCCACTGGGCCAGCCCCCATTATTCCCTCTTAAAACCACTGTAATCTGACCTCTCCCCACCTCACCCCTGAATCATCAATGACTTCAGTCCTTACCTTACCTAACTTCTCCTCAGTTTTTGATGATATAGGTAACTACTTCCTACCTGAAATTCTCTTCCCTTGGTTTCCACCACCTCTCCTAATTTTCAACCATTTCTCTCACTGTTCTTTGTGAGTTTTTCCTCAGCTATAGAACTTCCTCACCTTGTGTGTTCCACAAATTGTATTTTCCACTATATTTTCAATTCATCTACAACCAGCACCTGGTATGTAGCAGGTGCTGTATAAAGAATTCTTCAACTAAACTGCTTATCACTTTAGGTTAGTTATCCTTGGTGTTCTATCCTTGGCCCTTTTCTCTACTAATTCTTCTTATTTTCTCTGATTTACTTTTATCAATTTCAATTGCTCTAGTTATCATGTGGATTGAGTCCCCATTTCATACATTTTCCAGCACCCTTTATCTTTGATAGCACTTGTAATTGTTATGATTAACTAAAGTCTATGAATAGAATTTTACTCAAACCAAGTTAAGAAAATAGAAAATTTCAACTTCTCTGCTAAGCCATTCTATATAAGAGTAAACATGGCAGGCTTTAACTTTTAACCACTTTACA